ACTTACTGTTGGGCAGCAGGAGGTCAGCGTCTCAGAGCTTTGTCCTCCTCCATGGTCCATGCATGAGGTGGAGATGGTGACAGCTTGTCACTGTGTGGAAGGTAAGTTATAGAGTCATTTTAATTTAGGGAAATATGCTTTCCAAGTCGTGTGTATGTTTACAGTATTTTCCTTATTATTTCTTTTGGCTTGATCCAGTCAAAAGGGTCACAGTCACAGGAAAACTGAGCCCACAAATGAAGCCCAAGACCCCCCCCCCATATGGAGCAGAGACAGATCCTATCCTCCCCACAGTCCAAGCCGCGCTACATTAAAAAATAAATACAAATCAAGTGTCAGACAGCAGCCTGAGAATGCAGGTATACCACCCACCATGTCTCCTCCTCAGCGTGTGGATAATCCACTGCAAGCAACTCCTGGTGACCGTGATGTGAGTTGCATTTATAATGAATAAAAATCAGTCAAAAGTCTTTATTAATTTAAACCCCATAAAATGAGGCAACGTTGACAATAGTTATGCAGATGTGTTTGTGTTACAGGCGGATTTAGAAGCCTTTGAAAACCCTACAGGAGACTTTTCATCGTTGAAGGACACCAAGAGGGGTCTGTTCACCCCTCTTCAGACTTACAAAGACGTCCCCAGATTCTGCAAGAGAAGAAGGTTGTTGAAGTCTGATAGGATGTGGTTTTATCCTCGAGAACCTTTAGCCTTTGCAGGAGGCGCTCTGCCAGTAGCACAGTTGTTTTTTCATAGCCCTGTCTTTCTGTGATGCCCTGTGGGAGTCTGGAGATGCTCCCTGAAGTGTCGTCATGGGGATGACTGTGTTGGGAAGGGGTGCAACGTGTTCCTGTATAAGTCAGGCTACCACCAGAGGGTATAACTCACTTCTGTTTTGTTGTAAAAATATTATAACTCAATAATAGATCCATTCTGTCTGAATATGCTAAAGCTTTCCTGCATGTTAAGACCTCTCTTGTTGGTTTCTCCACTGATATGTACTCCAGGTACATCACATTTTTGATATATCAAAATGCTGACGGAGGCCTTATGTTGAGGGCTCTGCGCAAAGGCAGCAAGGAGCAGGGAAGGAGCCACTGTGGAAAGATGGCTTGCATGGGATCCAGCCATTTTACAGCAGCTCAGTGAGGCTCATCAGGCTGTGTTCCCAGCTATCCTCACCAGCAAGTAAGTTCAAGCTGCATTGTGACCATGTTTCCTTCTTCTAAATATTGATAAACTTATTCAACAGGCGTGGCATGGACAAGAAGATGGTGCGTCTCCTGCAGGACCGGACAGAAGGAAAGGAGGCAGATCCAGGAGAACCATGTGGGGAGTACCTCCATCGTCTGGATCTCTAGACCACACTGCTCATGTCCAGAGGGATGGTTGGTGTGTATGGCCATACTTTCCAGCCCCCACCTCCTCAGAGAGAGCTTCCATCAGCTCCTCTCTTGTGCCACACCTTTCTGCTGGCGGAGGCTGAAAACATGCAGGACTACAGGAACCAGATCCTCTCCACTTTTGGCACTGTGCTGAAAATGGATTTCACCAAGAAAGTATGTAAACCAAAACACAACGCAACACTTGGATAAAAAAAAAGGGATTTAAAAATACAATAAATAAAAAAATAAAAAGACAGGGAAAATAAGCCACATTTGTTGTTCTGTAGAAAGTAGGGAAGATTAAACTACTAACATGGGATTTTTTTTTTACATCTAAAGCTCTTCTAGGTAGTAAAGAAGCTGTCTGGTGAAGGTCGGAACTCAACTGAATGGTTCACCAGCATCGGAAACCAGCACTCACAGATCGTCTCTTTTGTGCTGACTTGTGAGGAATCCAAGAAGAAGCTGGAGCCAATGTGCAGCGGATTGATGGAGAGGGACAATCTGGCTGGTCAACCTGTCCTGAGCATCCTGTACACGGACCATGGATGCTGTCGTACTCGGAGACCAACAGCAGTGGAAACCTTATTCCAGCCTTGGAAGGAGAACTTTGGTACAGTTGACTCCCCTAATGTCGAGTCTACCATATCGAAGTGCTATTTTGTCTACAGTTGAAGGTAGACTATGTTCACATTTGATTTTCTGAATGCGTACCTTGGGAATGTGGGGCCATGGGGGAGTGTTGGTCTAGTGATTAGAGCAGTGCCATTGTGCTCTGAGAAGGATGCAAGTATCCTGTTTGATCCTCACTGAGATAAACCCTTAACCCCACACAGCTCCCCGGACGCCGCACAATGGCAGCCCACTGCTCCCCTAGGAGATGGGTTAAATGCAGAGAGAGAATTTCCCCATTGTGGGACAATGGGGAAATATACAGTGATTTTTTTGGGGGGGGATTTAAGCGTCACCTGTTGCCATAATTTCTGATAATCAGCTGTTTCTAAATCACAAATAATGAACTGTTTGGTTACTCAAAATTTCTTGATGGTCAGAATTATAGTGATTTAAAGTTGTAGGTACGCATTATAGGAACACCTGGAAAAAGAACCACTGAAGTCACAAAAGATGTATAAGGAGAATCCATAAATAGTGTTTGAAATGTTTTAATTATAAAAACTGTTAATAAAAAGAAAAAGCACTACTAAATTTATAATAAAAAAACATAAAAATATACTTGAAATTGAGCTATTAAAAATTATTTAAATGCATAAATTAAAAAAGCAGTAAAGTCAGGAGATGTTTGCCAGGAAGAATCTTTAATAACATTTAAAAGTATGCTTGATTTAGAAGTATAAAAAACATTTACATTAACACAAACTGTGATACTGTACAAGTCAGAAAATATTTAAAGGAAGAACCATATATATAAAGTATAAAAACTATGTGGGTAGAAAAAGTACTATTGTGTCAATAAATATATAAAAGAACCATAAATATATGTTTGAAAGTATGAAAAAATAAAAATTTATGACAACTATGTAAAATGACAAAAGTACTACTAGAAAGGTTGGAGAAATATATAGAATGAAGAACCATAAATAGTATTTTTAAATATGTCTGAACTTGATCAATAAAAACTATATACATTAAATAAACACTGATAAACTACTACAAACTGATTCTCCAAAGTCATGGTGCCGGTGCATCCACAACAGAGGTAAAATATTAGAGAGTTTCATATACTCTGTGATGCAGACCTTTTGATGATGACATCATTTTTATAGGGCAGAATTACTTTAAAAAATATATTTTTTCTGGCCCTGTAGTGGTTGGCCACAGACTGTAGAAAGAGGCAATTTCTCCGCCTTGTGTACTTTGGATTGCACTACTGTGAGTTCTTGCTTGGTCCTACGCTTGTACAGTTTGGGTCATTATCAGTTCTCTGAGGAGCACAGATTGTCTCGTCAGCCAGTGCCTGTGAAGGGCAAGCAGCTTCAGGGATCACCTGCTAGAGCAGCTGCATGTTTGGCCAGCCATGTCAGAGGCTGAAATGGAGGAGGAGGATGGAGAAAGCCCAGGTAAAGGTTTGAGAAGGTTGAGGGAACGGGAGGGTTGACAGGAGGTTTATCGATATTTGGAGTCTGCTGTGAAGGCGGGTTGGTGGGCATTATTAAACTGGTCCTGCCTTTTAGATCTTCAGTTCCTGCTGTGCTGGGTGTGGGCTCATACGTCATCTGCAGGTAGGCTGGTGTAGGGAGGACAGCAGGCTGATGAGGTGCAGGAGGAAGGTCTGCTGAGGAAATGGACTGCAGTTTATGATGGAGGAGGACTGCAGGGTGGCATTTGTGTTGAGGATCCGCTCCTGCTGCTGTATGAAGTCACGAACTGATTTCGCGTTTATTTTTGCAGAGGGTTCCCAGTTCTGCTCAAGATCGGGTCCTCCACCAAAACGCGGTGCTGGATTAAAAGTTTTTCTGAGCCCAGTGCATACATCAAGGGAAATGTACAGGGCAGCAGCTGTAAGTAGTATTAAAAAATATGTTTAAAGTATAAAAGGTATGTAAACGAATACAGGGAATGTACTATTAAATAAGTCAGGAAATATTTACAATAAAGAACTATGTAAATTTGCTTGAAATAGTATAAAATAAAATACTAAAATGGTTAGCGAAATATTTACAAAGAATAACCATAGATACTACTTTAAACATGTCTGAAATTGAACAATAAAAACTATATACATTAAAATACTAATATACTGCAAACTAATTGCCCAAAGTCAGTGCTCTAGCGCATCCACAACAAAGATAAAATGTTCGTAACTTTCATATACTCTGTGATCCAAAGCTTTAGATGATGACATCATCTTTATTGGGCAGAATTACTTCTTTTTATATTTTTTATGGCCCTGTAGGGGTTGGCCACAGACTGAACAAAGAGGCAACATGTCCACTTTGTGCATCTTCGATCCCATTGCTGTGAGATCTTGCTTCATCTTGTGCATGTACAGCGTGGCTCTTGACCAGTTTGGCTCTTTATCAGTTCTCCGAGGAGCACTGATTGTCTCTTCAGCTGGTGCAGGTGAAGAGACAATCTGCTGTGAAGGGGGGTTGGTGGGCATTATTAAACTGGTCCTGCCTTTTAGAACTTTAGTTCCTGCTGTGCTGGGTGTGGGCTCATACGTCATCTGCGGGTAGGCTGGTGTAGGGAGTACAGCAGGCTGATGAGGTGCTGGAGGAAGGTCTGCTGATGAAATGGACTGCAGTTTATTTATGATGGAGGAGGACTGCAGGGTGGCATTTGTGTTGAGGATCCCCTCCTGCTGCCGTATGAAGTCCCGAACTGATTTCGCGTTTATTTTTGGCAGAGGAATGCCAGCCCTAATGAGGATCGGGTCCTCCACCAAAACGCGGTGCTGGATCCTCTCATATGCCTTCAGGATGTTTTTTTTTTTTTTTCTGGGCTGGTGCTGCATGATCCCTGAGGCGCATTCAGCCACAGCAGCTTCACAAGAACATACATCAGTCCGTTGTTCTGTGCACTGACGTTGTGCTGTGCTGGCGCGTATCTTTTTGACATCTTTACTTTCTGGATCACAGCAGCGTCCACAAGGTCGTCCCGCTTTGTCCTGCAGTACAGCTTATTCCCCCATTGAGTCCTGTACCGCTGGCTGAACTTTTCGGGCTGCTTGTCATGCTCCTCCACTTCATTCCATGCCTCCAGGATGCTGTTTCTCTGCTGGGTGCTGAGCGACAGCTTTTCGTCAGTCAGACCGACGTCGATCAGCACCGAACAGAACTTCTCCAGCTGCTGATACCCAGGAAGGGGGCTGGGACCACAGACATCTTCCTGTCCAAAGAGAAACACAGAAATGTTAGATCCGTTTCATGCTTTAATTCTGTTTACTGTTGCATATAATTTGACTTCTGCTTCTTTTGTCAAATGAAACCATCCATATTTGCTCATGTTAAGCCGTTTAGTTACAGAACTTCAGGCATAAAATAAACGGCATTGGGAAACTACTGAACAGCTACTTACAAAGGCTGGAGGTTGAACGTTCGCTGTCTCTGCACTGGTGAGCATGATGTGAGGCGGAGCAGAAACCAGGATGTCACTCGAGGTCTCTGGGTCGCTTTCATAAGCCTCGTCTGGTTCCGGTTGCCCAGGTTGAACCACCTCCTCATCAGGATCAGGACCATGATGTCCTTAAAGGAGAAGGGGGCAGACTCCCCTGTACTCTGGCTGAAGAGGTATTCCAGCCCGAGCAGCTCAGCAGAGGTGACATCAGCAGGAGCGTGAAAGTTTATGTCCACAGGCTCTCCAAACAGGTACCGATAGTTGTTGTTGAGGCGAGCCATAAGAGGCGCAGAGTAGGTGCTGCGTCGCTGTCCTTTAACACCAAACACAGCTTGAGAGCGACGGTCTGTGTTCCAGCTCGCATTGCCACTGATCAGGTAAACCTGATAAGGCCGTGCTGCACAGTGTGGACCTGAAAATAAAAACCACAGGGAGAAAATATTAAGAACATTTTAATTGATCACTTCATGCTAAGATTTTTCACACTACTGCTGCATACCAGGAATTTTGCTTGGCAGCGATTTGTGGAATCCAATCCAGGCTGTTGCTCCCACGCACACGTTTGTAGTATGGCAGGTCAACGTTGTTGATGGTTGTTGTGTGAGCCACCCTGTACATGTGTTGGTCTCGTGGATCCTGGATGCACTCCGAATGTCGCTGCTGTATCTGCCCACATTTCGTCAATAGCCTCTGTAAATATGCATCGACACATATACAGTTGAAGATCATTTTGACTCATTCTGAGCCTTGTTGGTCAGAATTTGCTTTTTAGTTTTCATACCAGGTGTTTTGAAGAGGCTAACCCCGCTCTCATCCAGCCCTGCATGACCTTTCAGTTCCTCAATGGCCTCGTGGACCAGCCTGAATGTCTCCTGCGCTCCGAGTGTGACTCTTCGGACATGATGTTTCAGTTGATCCCTGGTGATGTACAGGTGAACAACATCCTCATCTGTCACAGACTCGAGTGCCACGAGGGGCTCCAGGTCGGATCGGTTGTATGCCAGAATTGCCAAGGCATTCGCCGACTGAATGCTGAATGTGGCATATTTGCTGTGTGATTCTGTTCGGATGGCGTCCAGTGGAAGATGTCGAGACGTACCACCATCCCGCTGTCCACCCAAGGCTGGAACAAGGTTTCCACTGCTGTTGGTCCCTGAATAGGACAGCAGCCACGGTCTACGTACAGGATGCTCGGGACATGTTGACCAGCCAGATTGTCCCTCTCCATCAATCCGCTGCACATTGGCTCCAGCTTCTCCTTGGATTCCTCACAAGTCAGCACAAAAAAGACGATCTGTGAGTGCTGGTTCAATGCTGGTGAACCACTCAACTGAGTGCCGCCCTTCATCAGACAGCTTCTTTACTACCTAGAAGAGTATAAGATGAAAAAAATCTCATGTCAGTAGATTCTTCTTCCCTACTTTTAACAGAACAACAGAGTTGGGTTATAACAAAAAAACAAAAAAACCACATGTTCCTAATGTTTTTTTTGTTTGTTTTTTTAATTCATTGTAATTTTAATCCCATTTTATTTATCAAAGTGTAGCGTCATGTTTTGGTTTACATACTTTCTTGGTGGAATCCATTTTCAGCACAGTGCCAAAAGTGGACAGGATCTGGTTCCTGTAGTCCTGCACGTTTTTAGCCTCCGCTAGCAGAAAGGCATGGCACAAGAGAGGAGCTGATGGAAGCTCTCTCTGAGGAGGTGGAGGATAGAAAGTTTGGCCAAATGCACCAACGATCCCTTAAGGTTTCGCGACAGACATGAGCAGTGTGGTGTAGAGATCCAGACGATGGAGGTGCTCCTCCACATGGTTCTCCTGGATCTGCCTCCACACCTTCACCATGGTGTTTCCTTCTGTGCGGTCTCGCAGAAGACGCACCACCTTCTTGTCCTCACCACACCTGTGGAGTGTATGTTTGTTAATGTTTAGGAGACTGTTTTGAAGAAGGAAACATGCCCCCATTCCAGTATGTACTCCCTTGCTGGTGAGGATGGCGGGGAACATAGCCTGATGAGCCTCACTGAGCTGCTGTAAAATGGCTTGATCCCATGCAAGCCATCTTCCCACAGTGCTGTGCTGAGTCACGGTCCTTTAACACCAAACACAGCTTGAGAGCGACGGTCTGCGTTCCAGCTCGCATTGCCACTGATCAGGTAAACCTGATAAGGCCGTGCTGCACAGTGAGGACCTTAAAATAACCACAGGGAGAAAATATTAAGAACATTTTAATTAATCATTTTATGCTTAGATTTTTCCCATTAGAGCTGCAGACCAGGAATCATGCTTGGCAGCGATTTGGCACACGTTTGGCACACGTTTGTAGTAGGGCAGGTCAACGTTAATAGTTGTGTGTGCCACCCTGTACATGTGTTGGTCTGGTGGATCCTGGATGCACTCCAAATGCTGCTGCTGTGCTGCCCTCATTTCGTCAATAGCCTCTGTAAATATACATCAACACATAAATATTTGAAGTTAATTTGACTCATTCTTGGCCTCGTCGGTCAGCTTTTCCTTTTTAGTTTTCATACAAGGTGTTTTGAAGAGGTTAACCCCACTCTCATCCAGCCCTGCATTGCCTTTCACTTCCTCAGTGGCCTTTATGGACTCTTCGGATGTCTTAACTTAATGTTGAGTGTGGCTCTTTGGACATGAAGTTTAACTTGATTACTGGTTATGTATAAACGGACAACATCCTCATCTGTCACAGACCCGAACGCCACCGGGTCCTTAGCTTTGATGGCCCGTATGAAGAGCTCCAAGTCCGATCGGTTGTAGCCCAGAACGCCCCAGCGATTGCGGACTTGAAGGTAGCGTACTTGCTATGGGATTCTGTGCGGATAACTCTGTCAAAACGGTGAATTCAGTGGAAGATGTCAGCAGTCATAGTCCACGTACAGCAGTGATGGACAATTAATGAAACTGAAAATGTGCTCGAGGGCCACACCTCCTAAACTAATAATTTTATAATGCTCATTCTGCCTTTTTATGATTCTATTGGCAATAAAATATTAAACATATTCTGTTAATATTTATATGTATATAGAAGCATAAGTATATAAAAGTAATAGTGTAAAACAAACACAATAATACAATAACCTTTTTATTTTTTTAATATATCTTCATAAATAAAAGTGGGAATATTTTTTAACGAGAACTTCTCTACCATGAACAATAAAGTCTTATTGTATAATTGAACAGCTTATCAACATTAGCAAAAGTTTCAATCATTTTTGTAGTTAAATTTTCAATTAGTCCAATCTCTCCTCTACTTTAACAAGTGCATTGAACTCAGGTTCACTGTCTGATACAGCTACATGCAGGAAAACTGCAAGGTGGTCATCTGTAATGGAAGAATTGTATCTTTATTTGTTTAACATTATCAATGAAAATGTGTGCTTACATATGTAGATCCAAAAAGTACAAGGATCCTTTGAGAATGTCGCCTAATGTGTGGAAAATTCTCTTCTATATTATGCATTGATCTATTCACTTGTCATACTGTAATATTGTTTGGGCAAGTATATTTCCTAGTTATCTTAAAAAAAGAAATACTACTTCTACAAAAAGCTTTTGTTTGCTTAACATTTTCTAAAGTTGATGCAATTAGTGCTCCCCTTTTCATCAAATTACTGCTGTTGAATGTTTATGAAATTAATATTTATCAAACATGTACCTGTTCTTTTTATAATAAAACAAGGTCAGTCTGCTCAAAGTTTCAATAATTTAAGTACTGCCAAATGCATTCTTATAATACTAGACAACCTTTTCATTTATCATTAAGTGCAATTCTTTTCGGTATTTTGGTGCAAAATTATGCAATGAATATGGAAAATATTTGGAATCTTCAGAGACACGCTATAGAAATTTGTTGAAAAAAATACTGTTATCCAAAAAAGACAGTGATGTGCGACTTTAAAAATATTTTCTATAATCTGAAAGCTAAGATTTAAAACTGTAACACTATAAATGTCTTTTCTGTCTTGAGTGAAATGTTTTTCATAATGTGAGCTGCCTGATGTGTAGTTGTTTTAGGGGTGTGGCCTTTGGTATAAGCCCTAAGGGGTTTCTGTCACACTCCGTCACGTTTACTTTATTGATGTATTCTGACATTTTGATTTGTGTAAATAAATAAAGTGGTGAGACTGACTTAAAGTGCTCTGCCAAAAGTGTGTCAGCCTGCAGATCAAAAACTTCCCTCTGAACATCACTACATGTATCAACACTACCAGTGAAGGGAGAAGAAACCATGTTCATGTAACACAACTCTACTGAAATCTTGAAATTGCCTAAAACTCTTGATTCAGTGCATCTAATAGATGAGAACCTGAGGAGGTGATCTGCTGATGGTGTAGCTTGCTTTAGTGTTGGCATCTGAGTGAGAGTATTATCTCTCAATTGGCTTTAAAGAAGCTGTATTTCCTACTTAAAGCCTTGACTGCACTGTACATTTGAAATACAGAGGAGTCCCTGGATTTGCAGTTTGACGTTTAGTTTAGGCAGTCACTTCTACAGTAAAAGCAAGATCTGCCAACTAAAGAAAGCTAAGGAATGTCCTTTCCCTTCCTTTCACAGAACTCCTGATTCTCAGGTCCCTGAAGCCTCTCAGCACTTTTCCCAATCTGGGCCATCTCCCACCTGTATGGTAGCTAATGTCACTGTGCTCAGCCTCAGATTCTTCTAAGTGAACGAAAGTGTCTATGACTAAGAGCTATTGCTCTCATGAAGTCTACAGGTTTTGTTACGACAATCCATAGTTTTCATCGATCGCATGCCCGCCAGCATTTAATCTCAAAAACCAATGTTGGCGTTACACTGTAAATATTTATTACTAAATAACTTCAGGGACTTGACATTTTCAATGTTAACCATACTGCACAGAGGATTTTCAGGTAGATTTAAAAACAAAAATATAAGATGTAGAAGTTTGTCTTGAACTGTTCTTTAATGGGGATCTTATCGTCTTGGTTGGTTTTACCTTGTAATCTACCTTTGCTTTCTTAAGGACTTATAAACGAATATATATGGAAAAAGGCTAATGATTGTTAAACCATAACAGACATCTCACCTGCCTTATTTTATTCAGTTTGTGTGAAAACTGCTCTTTATGTGCAAATCTATGCTTAAAGTGCAGTGCTAAATAGTGTCCTAGTGCTATTTAAGCTGTTTTTTAATAAAGTGCAAAGGCCCCTTTCAAGTGCTACAAGCATTTTTTTCATTTACATAAAAAGCTAATTTTTTATGAAAATAGCTGTCTATTTTCATAAAAATAGTCCCAGTAATGAGGACATCTTCATTTACTGCATTGTTTTAATCTTAGCAAATACAATGTAGACATAAAACATAGGATTTGTGGCCCAAA